GGCCTTGCCTTAGTCTGGGCAGTGAATAGTCATTTTAATCCTTGGTTCAAATTCAGGTTGAACCACTGGCCCATTACCTGGTCCTATTTACTTTTTCTTTTCCCTGTATATGGACATTCACTGATTTGCTTGGTGAAGTGAATCACTTCTTACCATTTCAATCCACTTCACACCAGACTGTGGCTCCATGGATTAAAAATAAAACCTTTGACCTAGTGCATGTTGGGGATAGGTAGGTTTCAAGAACATCTTTGGACCATTTCTCAAATTCCTTCTTTAATCATGTGTATACAAATACAGTGACTAAGTATAACATTTTAAAACACAAAATTTCCTAAAAATTTGACTAAAATGATACAAACTTGAAAATGTTGTTTTTAAATGTGTAAAGTAGAAGATGGGAGCCTGAAAGGAAACTAATTATATTGAAGTACAGATATTAAAATACAAACAAATTGCAATGTAATAATTTATGTACCTCTTTATGAATGCATTAAATAACAAGACCCGTAACAGCACAATTTAACAACTATTACACTTTCGAATTTGAGTTGAGGGATTTCAATGATTGCAACGAGGCATGAAAATATCTGTGATTTTCATGCTGACAAAGTCAAAGTGATGTTAATCCGACCATGGTCTGTGGTCCTCACTCAGTGTTAAATTTCAGCCACAAGTTAGGGAAGACTTCCCATTTGGGAACTTAGGAACTTCTTGAGGTCGGCAGGCCCAAGGTTAAGAAACCTCTGGAGTGGGGACACTGCATGACAGGCGGTGACACTGAGTCCCGGGGACAGTACAGCAGGGGACAGTACAGCAAGTTAGCTCCAGACAGAGAGCACACTTTCTGAGCCGGGGTTTGCTCATCTGTAAGGAGGAGAGAGCTGAGGTGATGATGAACTCAGAAAATATGACACACTCAGCTGGTGCCTGGCGCATGAAAGATTTGGTATTAAACAGCAGCTTTAGATATCTCTAGGGGCAGTTTTGGTTCACACAAGTAGCCATCCAGACATTGTGAGCCCCCCCCCCTCCATTACTACTCAATTTTAGCAAATGTACACATTTGAAAGCTTTTTCCTTTACAGGTATGTCCAACTCACGGCCTGTAGTCTGCATGTAGCCCTGGACAGCTAGTACTGTGGCTCCGTAGGATCACAAACTTTAACATTGTTACGTGATTTTTAGTGATAGTTTTCATGACCCCGTCGCATGGCACTCTGGAGCAGACTGCCAAGGCAACAATGGAACCAGACATTGATGCATTAGTTTCACGAAATAATTTCAAATATTCCACTAGCTTTATGTTTAATGTTGTCTTCATGCTATAATAAAAATACAGAAAAGAAAATTTTGTTACTCATATACATTAACTATATTATGTATTTTATACGTGGTGGCTCCAAGATAATTCCTTTTCATGCAGCACGAGCCAGGTGAGATAGGCAAGCCAAAAAGTTGTGCTCCTGTGGTTTAGGTCTTACACTGGTAGTCTCTTCAAAAATCCTTTTAAGGGGCTGGAGGTGTAGCTCAGTATTAGAGCACTTGCCTAGCATGTGCAAGGTCCTACGTTTGAACCTCAGCACTGCAAAAAAAATAATAATAAAAATAAAAATCCTATTTAGCAAATTATAGCCCTCCCACTTTGAAAATTTTGTTTTGTTTTTTTGGTACTGGGGGTTGAACTCAAGACCTTCTGCTTGCAAGGCCACTGAGCTGAATCTCTGGCCCAAAAGGGTTTTTGAATAACCTTGATATACAAACTTAAATACTTTCAAAGATTTTTAATTGCATTTGTGAAAATGAAAGATTTCTTTTTTATTGGTTTATATTAGTGATATAGAAAAATGAGATTTGTCTTGGCAAAGTGGCACATGCGTATAACACAGTTTGATTACATTTAAACCTCATTGCCCCTCCCCCTTACTTCCCCTCTTGCCCCAACCCCTTTTCCATCTATCAGACTACTTTCCAGCTTCCTGTCCAGACTTCCTTTCTAAACATGGTAATAGTCCAACTAACCCTTCGCTACCCAATGTACTTCAAGTGCTTGTCCAATATGAAACCTTGGACCCCACCCTGACCCACTGCAGCTGACTTTATGTTTTTGTCAGATTCCCAGTGATCAGCATGCTTGAAGACACAGTAAATTCGCTGGCAAGTAGAGTTTTCCCAAGTAATTTATTTACTTTTATATGCACTACATGTGAAATTTATGTTGTCTTAAATATTCCAACAATCTGTATAAATTTAATACATTGGACCTTCTCATCATATGTTTAAGTTAATTACTCAAACATTCATTTTGAAATAATAGAAGATTGTTTCCTTAATCTAATGGGACAAATTTTCTCGAGTTACAAGTATGCAATATACTAAATATGCACAAATACTTCTTTATTCTTGTAATATTAAATATTATAATTTTGAATTATCTCAAAGCTTTTATTACTCAGTCTTAATTATCTCTGGGTCTTGAGAGAGATTTATCTAATAAAAATAAACTATTTTTTCAACCTTCATAATTTTAGCTCACTGGCTTATTCTATCAAATATTTAAAAAAATAATCCCAGTCCTATACCAGCTCTTTCAGAAAATACAGCAAGAAACATTTTCCACCTCATTTTGTGAAGCTACTATGACTCTGATAAAGACACCAAAAGAAAACCACAGACATATCCTTCTTGAAATTAGACACAAAAATTCTCAAAACAATAGCAAAATGAATCTATGAAAACATAAAAGGATTGTGCACTATGACTAAGTGAGTTTTTGACCCAAATCATTACACCAAGATAATCAGTTTATAAGAGGCGAAGGTCACTTTGGCTACAGATTCAGAGGTTTCAGTCCATGGTTACTTGGCCCCATTGTATTTGGGTGTATGGTGAGGCAGAACATCATGGCTGGAAGCACCTGGTGGATGGAGGCACTCACCTCACAGTGGCTGGGAAACAGGAGGAAGAGGAGAGGATGGAGTCCAATAGCCCCTCCAAGGGTGCCTCCCCAGTGATCTAATGTCCTTCTACTAGGGCCTATCCCTAAAGCTTCCATCATTTCCCATTAGTGTCAGACCTTCAACATATGGACCTTTGGCGGGTGTTTAAGGGCCAAACTATAGCCGAGTCTGAGTTGGTGTGGAAGAATCATACCAACTTAAACCCTGCTAAGCCAGTGTGGACTCGTTCTAAGGAGTATGTTTTTGTGTCTGAGGAGGCAGCTATGATGGAGCATTCTAGGAGAGGGAATCTGTAAAGTGAACTTCTGTTTCTTCCAATAGTAAGGTGGGGTGTGTGTGTGTGGGGGGGGTGAGAAACCAATAGATATCCTATCCCACCGTATAAGAGTGAAGACAATCTAAGGAGGTTGTTCCTTAAGACAGTGTGACAATGACTATAAAGCCCTCATCCACCTCTACTTTAAGTGGATGCCTAGCACAGTTACTTTTTCTTTCTTTTACAGAGAATAATTTTTAAATATCATGCTATATAGTAATTATATTTCTGTTCCTTGTCTTTAAGGAACTCAAGATCACTACTCTGCCAATAAGAGGCTTGTAGAGCCGGCTTCCACAGATTCGATAAGGGTCATATATATTTCATTGGCTGGGCTAATTGTGGTTACTTTCATTCTCTTGGATAACTTCATTTCCTTCCAAGAAACTTCAAGAACTTCCTGTCTGCAAAGATAGTGAGAGCATGTGGCATGAGCTCAGACTGTCATCTGCAGACATTTATGTTAGAATGAGAACAGTGCTCCTTACGGTCAGCTACAGAAGTTCATTGGAAACTGCAGAAGCTGCAGAGAACTGAAAGAAAAGGAAAGGGATTTCTGTGAGACTATAAAGCATCGTGTACATAAGGTAACATGTGACTCCAAACAAACAGCTACCATTTATTGAGACGACTATGAAATATACACTGTACACACACACACACACACACACACACACACACTCACACAATTTAATTCTCACAAAAACCTGGGAGAGGTTAGCTTTAAATCCTCCTTTAAAACCTCCAACAAAACTGAGTCAGAGGAATTAAGTGACTCTCCCAAGGTCACCTAGCTAGAAAGTGGCCAAACCAGATTTAAACCTAGGCAGAGCTTTGTTTCAGAGGACAAAAGCAGTGAAAGGTTGTAGTACAAAGTTTTAAGGGTTATGAGATTCGATTCATATTTAATTTTCTGGGACTTGGGTAAGTTATTTCATCTGCATCAGCCTCACTTTCCTTATCTGCAAAATGGTTCCTTTTTTCACTGGGTCGTTCTGAGTGATCAAGATGGTGCGGACTATGTGCACAGTATTTGCTCAGCAAGGTCAAATGAATTAGATGATCTCTTTAAAAAAATCACAAACAAGACCTGAAATCTAAAGGGCATCTAAAATGCTCAACCAGTGTTGTTAAACAGACACCTGTCCACTGTGTCTTTTGCCCGCGCTTTCAATGCAAGGCCTCAGGCATGCAAGGCAGGCGCTCTACCACCAAGCTGCACCCAGCCTCCTTCCCACGGGTCTAGGCCAGCTCCCAAGGGTTTCTCCTCTGGCACGCAGCACTGGACTAATCGCTAGGCGAGCACCCTGGGCTTGAAAATGGAGAAAAAAGAGGCCAAACCTCTCAAGGAATGGGCCTTGGACAAAAGGCGGTCACACACCGGGCCCCTCCCTATTGGACACCTTGGTAACAGGGCGTTGGTCACCGCAGGGAGCAGGACCAAGCAGGGCGGGGGAAGGGCGAGCTCGCCGCAGTCCTGCCCGCAGCGCGCCTCCACCCAGCCCAGGGCTCAGCCTGGGGGCCGGGCCAGGTGGGCGGGGCGGAAGCCGGGCCGGGGGCGGGGCCCAGGGCGCCGGGCGGGCGGGTTTAAGAGAGCGGCGTGCGCGGACCCGCGGGAGAACGCGGCAGCGGCCCAGCACCCGAGCCTCGTGCCCCGCGCGCGCGCGCCCGAGCCCGAGCCCCTCGCCGCCGTCACCTTCGCCCGGCAAGGGGCCTCTCGCACCATGCCCCGCATAGATGCGGACCTCAAGCTCGACTTCAAGGATGTCCTGCTCCGACCTAAGCGGAGCAGCCTGAAGAGCCGCGCCGAGGTAGGGCGATTCCAAAGCCGCCTTGGGGCTGGGAATTTTGGTCGTTTTTCCGGGTGCCGCGGGGTGGGATGGGTGACGGGATAGCGCAGGGTCTCTGCCTGGCTTTCTGCATTTGAGGCTGGGATGCTGCGCCCCCTTTCCGCACCCCACCGAGCGAGGTCCCTGCCGGGGCGCGGGTTCATCTTTAAGGGTGCGGATAAAGGGTCGAGAGCAGGCCTGAAATTCTAAAGGAGTCAGGGTCGGGTCCGTGGGCTAGGGGAAGTTGACACTGAAACTAGACCTCGGAGGAGCAGAAATCCGGTGGCAAATCGGTTTAGACGGGATGGGGGTGGGGAGGTGCACAGGGAGAAAAGGAAACGTGGAGCTTGGGTGGAAAGGGAGAGAAAAACATGAGCGATCCTTGAGGTTTTTGGCATTGTCTCCCCGAGTCGACAGCTGCTGCTGCTTTAGCATCAGGCCCAGCAGTGGAAGTAAGAAGAGGTCTGCAGCGCCGGGGGCCCTCCCTCCCCAGTGCAGGGTGTACTTTCCCTTGCTGGGAGCGGAACTCGGGATCCCCGGTGCACTCGCGGTCCTTTCTGGGCAGCCCGAGAGAAGCCCAAAGCGCTGGGATGCGGGTGGAAGGAGTTGGAAGCTGCGGGATTTTACTGTTTCTGCCTTCACGAGATCAGAGCTTAAGGAACAGGTGGAGACGGGGCTGGAAATAGCTCGCGCTGGGCGTGGGGGTGGGGACGGGAGGTCAGACCCTGAAGGGTAAACTAGTTTCCCGGCCAGGCAGAGCTCCCCTGCAGAAGTTGTGTGCTGGACCGGTGGCTTTGCCTGGTTTCTGGTAACTGGAGAGGCGGCCGCAGAAAGACGCGGCTTGGAAGGCTGGGGCTGGAGGAGTAAACAGGAGGAGGTGGATGTGCGGTGCTCGCTCGGTCTCCAGTTCCACAAACAAGACCATAAATAAGGCCCCGGGCAAAGATCTCCACTCCAGTGCCGAGGCCTGACTGCAGTGCTTGGTGCTGCCAGCTGAGGGCTTGTTTGGATTAGGGCAGCTTCTTTTTTAGCCAGCGAGTAGAACCAAGCCACTTTGTCTAAGCAGCAGCCCTGGCTGGCAGAAGCCAGGACCAGAAGAAGTGGAGGAGGAATGATGAACTCTTACCACCCCAGATTAGATGCATGCTCCTCTGCTCGCCCTTCATTGTGTGTCCCTTAAATCGCTAAAGAGCAGGGCAAACTCTTGGAACAAAAATAACCAGTTTGGAGGGCAGCCTTGAGCCTCCGGAAGTATGAGCTGTGGCCAGAATATGGGGATTCTGAGCAGACTAATTTGGCGACCTCCGTATTCTTTGAGTATTTGTTCAGAATATATTTAGGAGAAGCTTGTTTGAAAGACAAGATCTATGTTCAAAACAAAGTATGTCTAAAAAGAAAGTGTATTTTCTGAACCAGAAAACCTCTTGAGAAGGTAAAACATTAACATTTACCTTAAACATCTAAGTAACAGACTGGATTATTGCTTCCCCAGGGAATCGTGTGACGTCATGGAGCACTGGTTTTGTAATTTGGGCTGATTGCCACTGTTAGTGCTGTCCCAGCCAGTGGCAGCACCTGGTAATCCACACGTGCACATTGCCATGAGAAGTCTGTGCCCTCGAGAACTTTTTTCGAATTTTCACCTTTGTGGGAGTTTGCCTGCTCTGTACCTAGAAACTGAAGTTAACAGGCATTTTAGTTCTAGTTTCCTAATGCTCCCTGGGCAGGAGGCTGCTGCCTGGGTGGCCATCTCCCGGCATCTGATTTTATCCCCCATAATCTGAATTTACTTGCCTCGGGGGTCTTGAGGGATCTAGTTAGGCCTCTCTAATCCCCTCTCAGTGTTTCTTCTGTTTTCTTGTTGATGCCTGAAATTTCTTGTAGGCAGATACAAACGCTTCATTGTATAATCATAAGTTTAGAATGTGTGTACTCTGGTAGAAGTAATACCTGGATGCAAATCCTAATCCAGTGTGGTGAACCTATGGCGTGTGTGCCACAGTGGGGCTATCTGTATATCACTGAAAGCTCTGAAAGGTTCGCCATCACTGTTTTAGTCAGTGACCGACCTTGAACAGAGTGCAGGGTTGAGTGGAACCAGGAGAGAGGACCTACGTCAGGGAGCAGAATCTGCCTGAGAAAAGTTTTGACAGCCCATGACAAGCTTTACCCCACTGCACAGTTTTGCCCAGCTCCAGGCCCCCTGATGGCTCACCAAGCATGAACAGGAAGTGGAAAGGCAGCATGGTCCCCCGCTGAGAAACTCAGATCTCCTGCAGGGACACTTTCACTGGCCCTGGCACAGGTATCCCTAGCATGGGGCTTCAGGTAGGCAGCCATCTCCTGGCTGTGGAGCTCCTCGTACAGAAGATTGAAGTGACACAGGGCTCACGTGCGTGACATTTGAGTAATCTTCAGAGAATGTGACCTTTGGGTTAAGACGAGATCTCGGTCCTTATCTGACGCACTGGGGAGCTGGCACCATTCCTTGACTCCCAACGCGACTTCTTCCTTGGGACCCATTCCTGACTGCCATCCCACTGTAGTCCTTAACCAGTATGTCACCCCTTTGCCATTCTTTGCCCAGGAATATGGGGCTGGGAGAAAGGAGGCCTGGGTTTAAATCTAAACTCTGTTACTAATTATTGTGTTATCTTTGTGTTACTTTCCCCTGGGGTAACTATCAGTTGTACTGCCCCAAATGGTGTGGCTTTATCAACAAAAATTTACTGTCTTCTCATTCTGCAAGTCCCCAGTCAAGATGCTAGCAGGGTTGGTTCCGTGTGAGGGAGAATCTTGCATGGCTCCTGCCAACTTCTGCTGGTTTTGTGGGAGTCCCTGGCATTCCTAGGTTGGTAGATGCACCGCCCCATCCCTGCCTTCATCTCTGTGAGGTGTACTCCCTTTGCCAGTCTGTCACCAAATATTCCTTCCTTTTCCGAGAACATTGTTCGTATTGGACTAAGACTCACTCTAAATGACCTCATCCCAACTTGGTCACCTGCAGAGACCCTATTTCTAAATAACGTCACCTTCACAGGTAGGAGACACATTTCAACCCCTAACGGCCTGTGTAAATTTTGCTCTGTAAAATTAGAGGATTTGACCAGACTTGTTCTAAGTGGTGAATGCGTCAGGATCACCTAGGGAGACCCTCCAAATACACATATTGTCTCCAACACAAAGCCTTTGATTTACAACGTTTCGGCCCTAGTGAGCATGTTTTCAGAACTCTTAAAAGGCTTCAGCTGTGTACATGGCTGCCCTGACCTGACCTCTCTTGGCCCTGTTCCTGGGACCTGTGGCTCGCTGGTGAGGCTGCAGCTGTGTGCGAGCTTCTCTGAAGCCTGAGAGCAGAAGGTGAGGCCTTTAGGGGTTGGGTCCACATCCCTGGGGCTAGGCAGCCCCCCAAGCATTTCTCTGAAACAGCTGGGGCCAAAACTCAGGCTCACTCTAGCTTTTAGCCACAGGTTAGTGCATTCCATACCTGTTGAACCCCTGGGGCTACAGACCTAGAAAGCTCTGTCCCAGTACTCCCGTGAGACAGCTAATGAAAGATAATTGCTTTACTCATTACCATCCATAGATGTAGGAAAAGGGGCTACTGTCCTGGACCCCACTTCTGTGTCCCTGTACAGGGCTGGCCTGTGGTTTTGCTATCCCTTCTGGTGTGTGTGGTCCAGGTCTCAGGGCCCTGGGAATCCTCCCCCAGATAATTTCAAGATGATTGCACAGCCTGCATGGGCCACTTCCCCAGGTGTGTTGTTCCATGCTGCTGGGGTGCTGCTCTGTAACCTCAGAGAGTGGCCAAGTGGCGGCTGTTGATCGACCTGTGTGCGAGTGTGCAGAGAGCGTGCTGGTAAGTGCAGGCTGGGGTGCTGGTGTGTGCACAGAAGGATTCGGTGGGGAGGGAGTATGGACTGGGGCCGGGCTGGCTCCCGGTACCACCACTGTTGGTGCCTACCTGGTGTGTGGATGTCGCTGCTTTTAGTGAGGGTGGGAGGATCCAGCAGGTTTATGTAGCAGCTTGTGAGCTCGAACCACACTTTGAGTTATTTAGAAATGTGCATGTGGGCCTCCCTTTGTACTTTTGACCCCCCAGAATGCTGGGTAGTTGGGCCGACTCAGGGAAGGTGTGTGGGGAGAGCAGGATTTTGATGTTTGGCAGGTGCGTTTGGCTGCTTTGCTCCCCCTCAGATGGGGCCTAGCACGGTGGAGTTGCTATAGTTGATGCATTGACCAGCTGGGGGAGATTAAATGCCAAGTTTTGTTCTGGGAGGTGCCAGTATTTAAAGTATTATCTCTCAGAGGGAGTGACTGGTCTCTTTTAGGTCTGTGTGTCTGAATAGATAAAGTCCGGGAAGATAGTTTCATTTTTCATTCTTCGAGTTACTATTGCAAAGAATCTGCCTTATGTCTTTTGGGGGGTGGTGGTGTTGGAATCTAACGTGAGGCTTCCAGTGTGTTAAGTGTCTATTCTATCATTGAGCTACACCCTCTGTCCCAAGAAATCACCTTATAGAGTTGACTAGGAGTGAAGGGAAGGCTCATTGTCTAGGCGGCCCTTTTCTGTGAAACATGTTTTTCTGTGGGTATGGCTGATGGATTTCAGAGTGCCAAGAAAAAGCCATGGTGATGTGAGGCCAGTGCAGAGTAGCAGCTCTCTCCCCATGCATCTTGGAGGAGTAGAAGCGAAATTTGAGGCCAAGGAATTCTGACTGTTTTAAGCTCTGAGCTAAAATGTTTGAGGCCATTAGCAGCACAGAAGGTTGCAACTAATAGAGTCCCTCAATTAGTTTGCAGAGTGTCGAGATAGCTTGCTTCACTGGGGTAGAAGCAAGAATCGTCACAAAGGAAGTGGAGGAGGGGATGCAGCCCCACAGATGTTCATGCAGTGACAATGGCTCGTTTCCACTCACTGACCACTGCTTGCGGCCAGTGCAGTTACAGGTGTGACATCAGAAAGCCTCTGGACCTGGAGCCCGGGGTAGAGAAGCCGGGGCCAGGAAAGGCTGCAGGATTGGAGATGCCCCACCATGCTTTCTGATGTGATGCTGATTGTAAAGTGCAAGTTGCCGCAAATGCAAAGAATAAAAGCAGTATCTAGATAAACACTCAGGAAGCCAAGATTCACGAAGGTCTAGATTACAGGTCTGAACTTATGCAGAAGTGTAAGAGTCACACTTGTGTTTCTTGGGCCTGTTTACCTGGGGCAGTCACCTACCTCCAGTGTGATCTGCATTCAGCAGGGTCCAGCTGTGAAAATGAACAGTGCACAGTGTTTCAAGCAAGGAATTTAATGTAGGGAATCCTGACACGGCTGAGATGACAAACAGGATATCAAGGCCCTCCAGAGATTGACAGCAGCAGGAAGCCTCTCCTAGCCCTAGGATAAGGGTCCCTGGGCTGGGGGTGCTCAGACAAGGGAAGCTGAAATCAGGAATGCACAGGCCTGAAGGGGACACAGCTGGGTCAGAGTCCTAGTAGTTCTGAGACTGCTGGTGCTGCCACAGTGCCTAGACCTAGCGCACTGTGTCTGCTAAGCTTGCCATCCTGGCCACGCTGCTGTGATGGATTTCTGACTGTTGCTAGTCTTCCTCTCCCTGGAGTTGGAGTTGCAGTAGCATTGGAGGCTCTCCCTCCAGCTGTTTGCAAGTCACAGGAGCAAGTGTTTATGTGCCCGAACATATGGCTGCAGCATTCTCCCCTCCAGCTCTTCAAAACCTGCTCATAATTACAAGCCAGCTGCACAGGCTGAAAGGCTAAGGGATTAATGGTTTGGAGCTCACAGCTGGGTAAATTTGGAGTATGGTTCTAGGTGAAAGGTGACAATTGCAGGGACTGACAGGGTCACTTGTTGACTTGGGGCTTTGGCTTTGTGGCAGAGTATCCAGTGTCTTGAACGGGTATGTGAGGGTGGCAGGGGTTATTTGAGGTTTCACATGTGAATACACCTGTTACTTGTTTCCTCAGGGACTGCCCAGGCATCGTGGAACACCTGGCCCGAGCCCTAAGAGAATCCAGGGCCCAAGGGTTGGACACTCTCTGATCTTCCTGCACCTCCGCCCAGAGAAATTCTGCACATAGCACCTAAGATCAGACACTCATTTCTTCCCCCTTTTGGCCAACAGGTGGATCTTGCAAGTACATTTACGTTTCGAAACTCGAAGCAGACCTACTCAGGGATCCCCATCGTGGTGGCCAACATGGACGCTGTGGGGACGTTTGAGATGGCAGTTGTGATGTCACAGGTGAGATGTGCTTCCCCCCTTAACTTCTGCTGCTTACAGTTCTGTGAAAACCCCTGAGACTTTGGAAATCAGAGATTCAAAAAGAAGTTAGACCACAGCATGAGTGCCCTATTATGGCAGAATGATGTTGCCTTTAAAATCAAGATAGAGCTTTGTATGGGGTCTGTGATATAGCACTTAGTCTAGAGAGATGTAGAAGAATCCATTGAGCACTACCAGGCATAATGCATCTCTTAATTCTTGGCACACCTCCACAAGTTAGGTTCCTTGTAAGGAGGAAGAAACTGAGGCAGAGAGAAAGAGGAGAGGTAACTTATTCCACAGAAAGGCAGGACTCTCAGCTGAACTGACTCTAGAACCTAAGGGATTTACCTCTCACACAAATGCAGAGTCAGTATAAGCTCAAAGTTCCTTTTAGTCAACGCTAATCTTAATTGTGTATAGAGGGAGTAGCTAGTACCTTGGCCTTGGGAAAAGTAAAGGAAATACCCATTTGTAGGCAGGACCTTTGTCTCACAGCTATATCTGAGGTACCAGAGCACCTTATGCGTCCTAGATGTGAAATGTTTGCTGCTGATGGCACCTAGGAGATGTATATCTGTTTCTGTTGTTAAAGCCTGCCAAGTGCAGAGATCAGTGCTGTTAGTTGAAAGAGCTTCTCACTGTGGACAGCAAGTCTAACTGCAGGAGGTGCTGGGATTCATTATTAGGCAGCGATTAGAAGACAGAGGTTCTCAAATTATGAGCGTAAAAACTGAACCATGATCAATTGTCTTGTCAGTCACCTCTCAGCTGCCACCAGGCTTTGGGACAGAGGCTCCCAAATTAATTGCTAAAGGAACACAGTCATTTCTTTCCCTCTATTTTTCCCTTGCCCCGCTGTCATCAGGCATTGGTGCTAATGGACCGTGTGTTCATGTGTGCTCTGGTTCTGTGTCTGTAAGGGCAGTGGTTTTGCTCTGTGCTGCCTTACCATAGACTCAAAACACTGTGAGCCGAAATGAACCTTTTCTCTTTATAAGCCAGTTATTTCAGGTGTTGTGTTGTAGTGACAGAAAGCTGATTAACACAGTATAAAAGTAGGGGGAGCCAGGGAGCAATAAGTAGCCTAGTTAATTCACATGTCAGGGGCCGGGGATTTAGCTCAGTGGTGCTGGTGCCTGCCTTGCAAGCCCAAGATCCAGAGTTTGATTCCCAGTACCAAAAAAAAGTCTCTTCTCTAAATCACATGGCAGAATTTAGTCTGAAAATCCTGGAACTTGCTATCCCTGTTCCTTTCCTGGGACAGTTTCCCACAAATGAGACAGCACACACTGACGTAGCTAGCCATGGGTGGGTACTATGAATTTTACATTTCTAGGATCCACAGAGTGAGTGCAAGTTAATAAAGTCATAAAATTTTGAAGTAAGAAATTGTAGATGGGGAAATTAGGCAGCCCCAGAAGTCAGTCCCCAGCTACATGGGATTCGAGCCTGAGCTCCAGAGTCAGATCTGAGCTGATTCTGGCCTTTGCCCCTTACTAGCCAAGCACTTGCCAAGTTTCTTAAGCTTCGTTTCTGCCCACACAGCTGATAGTGCTGTTGTGCTGAGAATGAAATGAATAATGTCTGCAAAGCACGGGCACAGTGGTCAGAAAGGCTCAGTGGATAGTCACAGATTTAAGGCTCTATGACTTGCTACAGGATCTTACTATGTAGTTCAGGCTGGTCTTGAACTTGCTGTGTAGCCCAGGCTGGCCTTGAACTCCTGGCAGTCCTTCTCCCTCAGCCTCCTGAGTGTGAGATTATAGGCATGTGCTATCATACCTGGGGGATTTAACTTTTAGTAAGATGTGTTTAGGTTATGAACATAAAATAAAGCTTTCAGGCCTAAGATGAGGTCATTTGGGATTGATGGAGAAAAGTTTGTGGCAGGATGACCCTTGTGCTGGGCAAGGACCTGCTGCACGGCTTGCTTTTGGGCCATCTGCTGCTCCCAGCCCTACTCAGGTCCGGAAGGGAGCCAGGGCAGGCTGAGGCTGGTCTCCGAGAAGGCCCTTATTCCTCCCTTGCCTCTGGGCCGAGCCGCCTGGGTCTGGAGACAGTATTGTCTGATCAGATTAGAGTGGGAAACACGCTGATTTCACCCTTACACCTTTGTCTATTTTGGGCTCCCTGGAGCATATTGAAAGCAAATTAAGCCTGAGTGGCAGGAGCAGCAGATGCCTTTGTCTTGTTGGATCACCACCTGCAGATGGAGGAGGGAAGAGGGCTCCCCTGGCATCTCCTCCTAATGGCACTGTTTTGTTTCCTAGCACTCCATGTTTACTGCGATTCACAAGCATTACACGCTGGATGACTGGAAGCGCTTTGCCGAGTACCACCCAGAATGCCTGCAGGTATGATTACAGCCTGAGTTTACAGTGCTAGGGCTGCAGGGGCCAGAAACACATCAATGCTGTCAAGAGCAGTGGAGTTAGCAGGCAGAAGCATAGCGCGAGGTGGTCTGCTGACTTGTGTCATTGTCGGGGATTTACGGCTGAAACCTGGTCCATAGTGTATTAGGAAGACACTAGGATTTACCTGGGAGGAATGTCTGTTTCCCCTGGAAAGGTGATGAGTTCTGTCACCAGAGCTTGGGGAAGACCTCTGCTTCTTGGCTGGATCCCATCTGAATGTGACACCTGGTATAGAAAGAACATCTAATTATAAGAAGCTACTTTTGAGTGAAGTCAGTGGTAAGCCTGCTAGGATAACCATTGCTGGGAAGGCAGATAAGAAGTGTTGTTGAGGATGTAGAGAAATTAAAAACCTCCTGTCCTGCTGGTGGGGATGTAACGTGGTGCTGCTGCTTTGAAAAAGTATGGCAGCTCCTCATGTGGTTAAACATAAGAGTTATCATGTGACCCAGCAATTCTATTTCTGAATACAGATCCAGCAGAAAATGAAAACATCTGTACACATAGAAACCTGTTTATTCATGGTCAAAGCAGCATTGTTTGTAACAGCCCAGATATCTATCAGTGGATAAATAAACTGAAATGTATCCTTATGATGGAATATTATTCAACTATAAAAAGGAATGAATTTTTATGCTACAGTGTGGAAGAACCTCGAGAACATTTTGCTAAGTGAAAAAAAGAGACAAGGCCAAATGCGTGATTCTGTTTATGTGAATTGTCCAGAGTAGGCAAATCTATAGAGGCATAAAGTGGATTGGTTGTTACCTGGGCCAGAGGGGTATTGGGGAGGGAGTTGGGTGATGGTGAAGCATGTAGGAGTTTCTTTTGGGAAGTCATGAAAATGGTGTAAAGTTGTGACAGTTGCACAACTCTGAATATGCTAAAAATCACTGAACTGTGCACTTTGATGGTTGAATTACACACAGGATGTCATTACACCTCCATAGAGTTCAAAAATGGCAGCAGCGTCCTGCTGTAACACGCCGAGTTTCCTTCCAGCGCATTTGGGAAGCGTGAACCAAGGCTGGCCAGAGTCTGTCTGGTTGGTGCTGTACCCCCACAGTTGGACCATTTGTGACTAGAGGGTGACTGCATATCTTCCTGCTTTCAGAGTCCCATGGGCCACGGTTATTTTTAGTATACATTTATTAGGTATAGGTTTTCCATAGGGAGAAGGTGGTTCTGGAGAGAAAGAAATTCTGGCTCAATAGGAAGTCCTTCATTTTTGCCATATTTTGTTCAAATGAATTAGACAGCTGTCGCTTCTCACTGCTGGTTGCAGGACCACCCTGCAGAAACCAAAACCTTCGGATGTTTATGTCCCTTATGTGTATTTCCATGTGACCTTTGAATGTCCTCTGTATACTTTAAATCCTCTGCAGATGGCTATAATACCGGCTATAATGTAAATGTGTAAATGGCCGTTATACTATGTTGTTCAGGGACTAAGAGTCCTGCGTGTTCCCTTTCTCGGAGTTTTACCTGTAGTATTTTCATCTGCCATTGGTTGAATCAGAGGAATGGGAGTAAATAGGGGTCAGGTGGACAGTCAGCTGATGCTGTGTCCGGGTTGGGGCCATGTTGCTGTGATTTGGGAGAATAGCGGAGGATGTTAAGATGTGTCCCTTATTCCTGGCTAAGATTTACAGGTAAGAATTCGATTTAAGTATACTTAGTCTGGGCACCGTCTCATGACTTAAGTTTCACTGTCATAAATGATTGAATGTAAGGCTTTTTCCAAAGGCAGATTTTTAGGGAAGACACAGGTGTAGGGTCCAGGGAGCACTGGTATTGAGGAGAGGGTGGGGCAGCAGGGGACACAGTGGCTTCAGATTTAAACGTGTAGCAGTGTAGCTGTGATCTTGTAAAGCTCCTTTGTTCTGGCCCCTTGGGAAATGTTGTCCCTTTAACAGGAAGACACTGCCACTGTGTGTGGAGGTGCAGATTCACACATGGCTTCCTGTTTTACCGTAGTTCCCCTGTCTGTGGCTCTCGTGATCGGAGACCAAGACCCCCACTCCCTAGGGGCTGCCGGAAAGTGAGGACAGCACCAAAGCCCATATAGACTGTTTTTTCCCTGCACATCCTTAGTTTATAACTTAGGCACAGTAAGAGATTAACAATAACAGTCAAACAGAACAATCGTAACAGTATTCTGTAATACAAACTTAAAACCTGTGAAGGTTTATTTTTGAAGCTTCCTGTTTAATATTTTCACACTGTGGTTGACCTTTGGTAGCTGAAACTGAGGATTTGGTTTGCAAGAATGACTGTTGGAACAAAAATAAAAATAGGAACAACTTTATCAGGAATTTAGGCATCCCCTGCCCCGCGCCTGCTCCCTCCTCGAGGCCCTCAGGTGAAGGCTGTGGCTTCAGCCTTGGTTGAATGGCTTCCTCTTGTTCTTTCTGGAAGCTTCCCAGCTCCTGTTGTCCTCCCTTGAGCTTCTGTCCTGAGACACATTTGCACCAGCAGCTCCACAATTCATAGTTCTGTGGTGGTGAAAGCTGAGATAACAAAATAGAAGCCAAGGACAGGGCTTTGGGAATATTTAAGAATCTGTTCACCAGAAAGATTTTGCAACCGAGGTCCGGGTTTAAGGATAGAAGCAGGTCGGCAGTGGGAGAGGTAACAACGAGTCTCCCTTCGCTATGCTCTTGCCTGTCTCGTAAGCGGGTTCCACTGTGCTCGCTGCGTCGCCCCCGTCGTGAGAGCCCGATGGGTCTGGTCTGCCTGTGCTCCCTGAGGCTTCACGCTGATCCTCTGTCTCCGCACAGCACATGGCCGTGAGTTCGGGCAGTGGGCAGAACGATCTGGAGAAGATGAGCAGCATCCTGGAGGCTGTGCCGCAGGTGAAGTTCATTTGCCTGGATGTGGCCAACGGCTACTCGGAGCATTTTGTGGAGTTTGTGAAACTGGTCCGAGCCAAGTTTCCCGAGCATACCATCATGGTAGGTGCCTGGGAACGCTCTCAGGGTGGGAAAACGAAGAGCTTCTGGGTGGCAGGGCCCCGTTTTCCCTTCAGAGCTTTTGGTGCCTCCTTTCCTTAGTATTGAAAGACGAGTTGAGAATCCTGAGGTAAAGGAGAGGCACCCGCTATGGAAGATCTGAAAACTTAGTTTTCCTCTGTAAACAATGAAGTCTTGGTCAAAAGGATATTTTTGGTAATTATTGTCCAATGTTTCTTAACAGGTGAGGCCTTTAAAAAAGGGTCTTCATCACCCCTTAAAGAGTATTTTCTTTATATAATTAGTAAAAACTCATCTAATTTTTAAAACTACATTAGACCCAAAGGTGATACAGAAGTCATAAGTCACAAAAGGGCATAAAGTCAAAAGTAACTCCCAGCTCTGGTCCTAGCCATCCATATGTCATTCCTCGAATGAACGGCTGTTCCCAGTTTTCTTGAGTGTACATCCAGAGGTATTGTGTACACACAGCAGAGTATACACACACATCTGCTGTGTGTCTACAGCCATCTGTCCCCCACAGAAGGTGGCACCTTGTGTACATTGCTCTACATTTTGTTCATTTAATGTTATACTCAAAGACCCTTTCCTGTTATTACATGGATACTGTTATCAGTTTTGAATGGCTATTATATGCATTGTTCCATATTGAGGCACATTACACTGTTGCCAGTTGTTTGTATTATTATTTACAAAATCATAGTAAAAATGTTATACATATATCATTTTAAACGTCTACAGTGTAGTAAGATAAATTCCTAGAAGTGAAATCTAAATAAATTAATTTTACTTTTTAAATTTACAATGTACTGATTCTAGTAAAAGTAAATCAATTTCTAGAAGTCCCGGCCAAAGGGTACCTGCATTTTATGATAGACACAGACCAAATTGCTCCCCATGGCAGTTGCCATACTGATGGCCTCTGATAGCAACACAGGACACAGGCTTTTTCCTGTAGTTGAGGTAGTCAAACTTTTCTGTGAGCTAATCTCATTGTAGTTTTCACATTCATTTCTCTTATGAGATTTTATTGTTTTCAATAACCCAGCTTTATTTTTTTTAAATAATGCCACCTCTTTGTTGCTGGGGTAAAATACCTGACAGGTACAACTTAAAGGAGGAGAGGTTTATTTTGTCTCATGATTTCAGAGGTTTCAGTCCATGGTTGCCTGACTCCAGGGCAGGAACATCATGGCAGAAGGGCTTGGTGCCAGAAAGATGCTCCGTTCATGTCATTTAGGAAGCAGAAAGCAGGGGAAGAGCTGGAAGAGGCAGAGAGGAAGCAGGGACCAGATAATATAATAATCCCCATGGTCATGGCTCTCTGACCCACCCAGACATACCAGAAGTGTGTTAACTAATCTCCTACATGTCTCTCAAGCCAATCAAATCGACAATCAATACATCATCAAAAGTTGCAATAAGGTTTGCTGACTACTATGAAACAATAAGACAACAAGGTCATGGAACTCATAAAATTTGTAGATCAGGATGTGAGGAGATTCTTTTTTCTCATATTTGGTCTTTGTCTGGGTTCCTGACACAGCTTCTAGGATCTTCTTTAACTTCCAGAGTGATGGGAACATCTGACACAGCTCCTAAATCCCCTGGAATTTCTGAGTGATTGCAGCATCTTTTGTGCCAGTAAGGTGACTCTTAATGGGCTCTTGGGTGGGAGTGGTCACCACAAAGACCCAGCCATGGTTCGAAATTTGAAGCTTTTAGCTCCAATCTGCATTTTCTGGAGAGGGGAGAAGGTCTAGAAATGGACTTAATAATCCATCATGCTTACTTGGTGAAGCTTCCATAAAAATCTCAAGGGTATGATGTTTGGGAAATGTCTGGGTTGGATAACACATCTGTGTCAGGAGGATGGTGCACCCTAACCCCACAGGGCCAGAAGCTCCTGTGTTTGGGATGCGTCCAGCCCTCACCCAGTGAGTCTCTTCATCTGACTCTCCATCTGTGTCCTTTGTCATATCTTTTGTGTCCTGGAATCTGTGAGCCATTCCAGGAAATTACTCAAGGATGGGGTTGTGGGGAATCTTCAGTTAGGACCCAAGCCAGACAGAAGTTGTAGGTAAGCTGCTACTTGTGATTGGTATCAGAAGTGGGAGACAGTCTTGTGGGAATGAGCCCTAACCTATGGATCTGACACTATCTTTGTAGATAGTGTCAGAATTAAGTTAAATGGTAGAACACTGTGCTGGTGTCCATTGGGGAAGTCATTTGGTTTGGGGGAAAGAACTCATATGTTTTAGTCACGGAGTTTGACCGTGAGAGAGAGTTCGGTGTTTTCCTACCTCAAGCATCTGGCATCTTTTACGAGTTTTATATCCATTCCGTTTCTTTTACAACATCTCTGTAAAGACCAGGAACAATTGTCATGAATTTATTATATAGATCAGGAATCTTAAGCTTTGATTTGTTCTTTGGAAGGTTGGACTTTTCATAAAGTCTGTCATCATTAACAAGCAAAGCTGGAATTTGAAGCCAGAGCAGTTGAAGGCAAAGCCCATTATATTCAGTGATTCAGTGAGACTTGTTAATGTACCCTTGTCCCTGTTAAGCTTCCACTGGGTGACAGTGCCGACCAACTCCCTTTGTCCCGATCCGAAGGTGGTGGGAAGGTTGACCTTGGGCTAAGGGCCCTGCCCCCTGGCATGGCCCATGCGCCTGATCCCGAGGGCCCACCCAGGTCCTTTCCTCACCCCTCTGGTAACCCCCTCTTGGGGTAGCTGGGTGTGGTGGAGCTTGCCTGTCATCCCACACTCTGAGAGACTGAAGCAAGAGGGTTAGAAGTTCGTGTCTAACCTGGGCAACTTAGTGACTTTGCAAGACCTTGTCTCAAAAAAATAAATTGAAAACAAAAATAAAAAAAGGCCAGAGAGTAGATCATTGTGAAGGTCCTGTGTTCAATTCTCATTATCCACCCCCCCCCCCCCCCCGCCAAAGGCAACAGAAAAAAACACAACTTTTTCTAGGGCCATGTAAAAGAGGGAGCAGCAAGCTGGGTTTCCAAAAGAGCAGAAGCCTTGTTCCCTGGCTAGGACCTGATGGCCCATGAGCAGCTTTTGGTATTAAGCATAACTTCTCTGTAACCCTTCCTGGGGCAGAAAAAATAAACATGTGTTGACCAGGTGTCTTCCCTTGTTTACTGTTCATGAGAATAGGAGACAAGACGAGGGTGGCCAGAGTCTGCGGTGGGCAGGCCTTGCTTCCACATTATGTCTTTCGTAGTTTTTTAAAAAATAAAATAACTATATTGAACTAAAAGTTTGCATATCACACAGTTTACAGACTTAAAATGTAAGATTCAGTAGGTTTTAGCACATGGACAGAGTTGCACAGTTATAACCACAGTCAGACTTAGGTCATGTTTGTTATCCCAAATCAAAACACTCTAACAGTCACTGGCTCTCATCTTCCAGTTCTTCCCCACTAAACCTGGGTAACCACTGACCTACTGTCTGTCTTCCTATAGTCTCCTGTCCTGGGAATTCATTATTTTTTTCAAAATAGACCGTGTTCATTAACAATGAAACCCTTAATAGATCCTACTGAAAATCTTGCAAAATGAGCTCTCAAACCATATTAGAGTGAAACCAGAAACCAACAACAGAAACATACTTAGAATTTCTTTTTCCTTTGTCTTTTCTCTCTCCTTTTTCCTATTACAATTTTCATGTAAGGGAAACCATACGATATACAAGCTTGTTTGTCTTGTTTACTTCACTTAGCATGGTGGTCTCAAGGTCCATCAATTTTCCTACAAATGTCTCAAGTTTATCTTTCTTAATGGCAGAGTAGTACTCCGTTGTGTATAGGTACAGCATTATCCATTCATCTGTTGATGGCCTTCTAGGCTGATCTCAAAATTTAGCTATTATGAATTGTGCTGCTATAAACATAGGTACACATACATTGCTGTGATACATGATGCTTTTAACTCTTTTGGGAAGATACCCAAAAAAGGAATAGCAGGTCAAATGGAGTTTCTATTTTCAGTTTTTTGCGGAATTGTCATACTGATTTCCACAGTGGTTGTACCAGTCTGCACTCCCACCAACAATGGAGAAGGGTTTCTTTTTCCCCACAGCCTCACCAGCATTTGTTATTGGTTGATTTCTTGATGGTAGCCATTCTTTCTGGGGTGAGATGAAATCAGTGTTGTTTTAATTTGCATTTCTTACATGGCCAGCAATATTGAACATTTTTTCATGTATTTATTGGCCAATTGTACTTCTTCATCTGAGAAGTGTCTGTTCATTTCAGATGATCATGTTTGGATTGGGTCTTTAAATTTGGGGGGCCTGACTTTTTTTAGTTCTGTATATATTTTAGATGTTAGTCCTTTGAGGAGTAGCTGGCAACATTTTTTTTACCATTTAGTAGGTTGTCTCCACTTTGTTCCTTTGATATGCAAAAGCTTTTTAATTTAATGTGATCCTATTTGATGCTTCTTGGTATTTCCTCATTTTTTGAGACAGGGTCTATGTAGTTTAGGCTGGACTTGAACTCAGTATGTAGTCCAGGCTAGCCTCAAACTCATGCCGATCCTCCTGCCTCAGCCTCCCAAGAGCTGGGATTACAAGTGTGTGCCACCACGCCCGGTTTGTATTATTTCTTGTGCAACCAGCATTTTATTCAGAAAGTCTTTGCCTACACCTATATCTTCGAGAGTTTTGCCTATTTTTGTCTTCCAGCACATTAAGTGTTTCTGCTCTGATGGTGAGAGGTATGGGTCTAAGTTCACCCTTCCCAGCATTATTTTTTACAGAGTCTGTCTTTCTTCCAGGGAAAGGATTTGATCCTTTGTCAAAGATCACATAACTGAGTGTTCCTGAAGTTGTTTCTGTATCTTCTGTTCTATTCCACTGATCCACAAATCTGGTTTTTTGTCGGTACCATTCTGTTTTTATGACTACTGTCGCTTTGTAGTGTAACTTGAAGTCTGGACTCATGATGCCCCTGCCTTGCCC